GTTAACGTAAATCGGAGACATCTGAAATGAACATTCCCTCCCAAGTCTGAGAAAGCAAGACTGAACTGTAAGTATTTTAATCCTATAAGGTATGGCAAAGTCTTCACATTTTAAGTGCAATGTGAGTTGTGGTACTAAGAAACTGCACACAAAAATAATTTAATCTTCTAGTTTTGGTGAACAAATAGATAAATGGTACCACTGATTAGAAAAGAAACAAAATACTGTATCCATTAATACTATATGGCTAATGGAGTATGCATGTAAGTCAGGGTACACTACACTTTTCAAAATAAAAATGCAAGCGTCCATACTAACAAGCCTGTTATTGATAACAAGCTTTTTATTTAGAAATAATAACTCCTGTTTGTGAAGAGGAATAAGCTTATTTCAAAATAAGTTATCATATATATAATAGCCCAGTGTCTGTGAGTGAGAAAGAGAGAGAGAGATGGAGTGAGAGAGCTCAGGAGAGAAGACCTGAAAATCCCATTTTATGACGGGCTAATTGGCTAGTTTTGAAATAATAACTCCCAAAATAACTATTTACAAATAACCTGGTAGTATATACATAGCCTACCAGGCTATGACATGGTTCACCAAAGTTAACCCATGAGCTTCCAGATGGAAACTAGGACAAGTAACAAAGGATGAATATAGGCAAGCAACACGGGAACACAGGGGCAAGATTAGAAAGGCAAAGGCACAAAATGAGATCAAACTAGCTACAGGCATAAAGGGAAACAAGAAGACCTTTTATAAATACATTAAAAGCAAGAGGAAGACCAAGGACAGGGTAGGCCCACTGCTTAGTGAGGAGGGAGAAGCAGTAACAGGGAACTTGGAAATGGCGGAGATGCTCAATGACTTCTTTGTTTCGGTCTTCACCGAGAAGTCTGGAGGTGTGCCTAACGTAGTGAATACAAGCAGAGAGAGGGTAAGTTTAGAAGATAGGATACACAAAGAACAAGTTAAAAATCACTTAGGAAAGTTAGATGTCAGCAAGTCACCAGGTCCTGATGAAATGCATCCCAGGATACTCAAGGAGCTGATAGAGGAGGTATCTGAGCCTTTAGCTATGATCTTTGAAAAATCATGGCAGACAGGGGAGATTCCAGAAGACTGGAAAAGGGCAAATATTGTGCCCATCTATAAAAAGGGGAATAAGAACAACCCAGGAAATTATAGACCGGTCAGTTTAACGTCTGTCCCAGGGAAGATAATGGAGCAGGTAATTAAGGAAATCATATGCAAACACTTGGAAGGTAATAAAGTGATAGGGAATAGCCAGCATGGGTTTGTGAAGAACAAGTCATGCCAAACTAATCTGATAGCTTTCTTTGATAGGATAACGAGCCTTGTGGATAAGGGAGAAGCGGTGGATGTCATATACCTAGACTTTAGTAAGGCATTTGATACGGTCTCGCATGATATTCTTATTGATAAACTAGGCAAATATAACTTAGATAGGGCCACGATAAGGTGGGTGCATAATTGGCTGGATAACCGTAGTCAGAGAGTTGTTGTTAACGGTTCTAAATCCTGCTGGAAAGGGATAACAAGTGGAGTTCCTCAAGGGTCTGTTTTGGGACCCGTACTGTTCAATATCTTCATCAATGATGTAGATATTGGGATAGAGAGTACTCTTATTAAGTTTGCAGATGATACCAAACTGGGTGGGGTTGCAACTTCTTTGGAGGATAGGGACATAATTCAAAATGACCTTAGCAAGTTAGAGAAATGGTCAGAGGTAAACAGGATGAGGTTTAATAAGGAGAAATGCAAAGTGCTCCACTTAGGAAGGAACAATCAGTTCCATACATACAAGATGGGAAGCGACTGTCTAGGAAGGAGCATGGCGGAAAGGGATCTAGGGGTCATAGTGGACCACAAGTTGAATATGAGTCAACAGTGTGATGCTGTTGCCAAAAAAGCAAATATGATTCTAGGTTGTATCAACAGGTGTGTTGTAAGCAAAACTCGTGAAGTCATTCTGCCGCTCTACTCTGCACTAGTTAGGCCTCAGCTGGAGTACTGTGTCCAGTTCTGGGTGCCACATTTCAAGAAAGATGTGGAGAAATTGGAAAGGGTACAGAGAAGAGTGACAAGAATGATTAAAGGTCTAGAGAAGCCTATGAAGCCAGGCTTCATGAACTGGGCTTGTTTAGTTTGGAAAAAAGAAGATTAAGGGGGGACATGATAGTGGTTTTCAAATATCTAAAAGGGTGTCACAAGGAGGAAGGCGAAAATTTGTTCCTCTTGGTTTCTGAGGACAGGACAAGGAGTAATGGGCTTAAAGTGCAGCAGGGGAGGTTTAGATTGGACATTAGGAAAAAATTCCTAACTGTCAGGGTGGTCAAATATTGGAATAAATTGCCAAGGGAGGTGGTGGAATCTCCCTTTCTGGAGATATTTAAGAACAGGTTAGATAGACATCTGTCAGGGATGGTGTAGATGGAGCTTGGTCCTGCCTTGAGAGCGGGGGGCTGGACTCGATGACCTCTCGAGGTCCTTTCCCTTCCTATTATTCTATGCTTTTATTTACATGAGCATCCTCAGCTATGGCCACTTGCAACTCCCATAGGCCATGGTTCACCAATCCCAGCCATTACGATTATGAGAAACACTGGCTAAGATGATTGATTAGCTCAGTTAGGTAGAGTAGGGGCTAATAGTAACTTCCCTAGTCATGGTTTTGATCTGCAAACAGGCCACAGTTGATATTGGTTTTTGTTTTCCATAATAACAGCTTTCAAGTACTTGAAAGGGGTGACAATGCAGAGAGTGATTTCTTTTTCTCTTCTTAACCTCTGAGGATAGTACAAGAAGCAGTGGGCTTAAATTGCAACATGGGAGGTTCTGATTGGACATTAGGAAAAAAACCCCTCCTTTCAGGCCAATAAGCCCAAGAATAAATTGCCTAGGGAGATCTGTGGAATCTCCAAGTGGAGATATTTAAGAGGAGTTTGGACAAGCATCTGTCAGGGATGATCTAGATGGTGTTTGTTCCTGCCATGAGTGTAGGGGACTGGACTTGATGATCCCTTCCAGTTTTAGTGGTTTAAGATATCATAAAAGGGGATGTCATAACATTACATATTATGGTGTTTCATAAATTTCACTCCATATTATTGACCAGCTAGTTATTCATTTTCAAATGATATCTTTATTGAAAATATGCCTGGTAAGGTAACTACAGTAGTGTGTATGGTGTGAATACAGGGTTGATTTCAGTCACAATCACTCAATCCATTCCCTGGAAATACTCATATTACACATCCCCGTGTGGAGTAGTAAAGATTTTGAAACATTTCTCTTTTTTCTAATCCATCAGGGGATTTAGAGTCCTTCAGAGTTAATTCCATTCTCTAGTATTGAGTTTCCGATCAAAGGAAATATTTAATGAGAGGAGAGTGATAGTTAGAACTCAAACAATATAAAAACATACTCTACATCCTTCAGAGGGACCATGTAGAATGTTACCTTTGATTATGAACAAAAGATACCAGTAAAACAGAACATGATCAGACATCACTAGCCACTAAATTTTTATACCAAAAATTGCTGAATTATCAACATTTATGTTTGAAATGTGTTCCAACTTTTAGTCAGCAACCAGAGACTACTATCCTGTGTCAATGATCTAGTGTGTTGATATTGCCTCTAAATAAGCATGCCAATTTGATTTTAAGAGAGAAAATTATGAAGAGATATCCAATCTTGGATGGAATACTTGAGATAAATTTTGTATAAGCTTGAAAGTTTGTCATTTTCACCAAAGTTACTCAAATATATTAATTCACCAAATATGTCTCTCTATGTAATACATGAAGCTTTCATTTTAATGAAGTGAAAGTAATGTGCTTTAAGCAGTATTCACTCTAAATGTGCCAAGATATTATTCCTGTGCATTTCATTTAAATATACATACACATAAATAAATGTTCCAGGCTGAAATTTGGAATCAAACTCCAAGTAAATTTGGAAAGTAGACTTCAGTAGTGTCCAATAAAACACAAATAAGTTTTGCCCTCTGTAAAATAAATTTCTAAACACATAGGTATTTAGGTCCACAAACAGACTTTAGTTGTTTCTCAGATCACACACACACACACACACACACACACACACACTCTACCCAGTCAGACAAATGTAAGCTGAAGGTCATCAATCTGTAAGGTTATAGAAAAAACATGTACTAGATCATATTGAGCTTGAAAAATAGTACATGGTTAGACTTTAAAAACTGTAGAGACTTTTATATAGACTTTTGTATATTCAATCAGCACATTTCTGGAACTTGACCTTGTTTCTTCCCCAGCCAGAACTTAGTGTTCTGCCTAGTTCTGGGGCTTCATTGGCTAATTGTAAGCCCGTTAAGCCAGTAGCAGTTGTAGAAAGCTTGGGTCCCACAGCTCTGGAAGACAGCCAGCTTGGGCTCATTAAACAGTTAGACAGGTTTAAGGAGATGACTGAGATGTTATTGCTAGTCAGTTTCCCAGGAGTTGAGATCTGTAGAAAAACACTCAAAAGGAGAAAAATTTATTGAGAGATATGTAGCCTGACTATCAGTACATCTCCATGTTCCACATCCCCTGGCCCCATTCTTTCAGACATAACGTTGGGTTATATGGAAATTAAGGGAAACAGAGGCTCAAGGGGGGGTATAGCTCCTTAAATAATGTCACCATGCATGTTACAGAGTCGCCACTGAAGTTCAATTGGTTTCTGTAAGCTCTGATCTTTTAAGATGGTTTAGACTTTTATACAGTGGAGCGGTACATGCTAACAGCATGGAGCTATACACATGTTGACAGAGCACCAACTGCAGGTGAGTAACTTCCCTATTTAAATATAACTACAGAAAAGTACACTGAAGTTTAGCAAGACCTTAAAGTAAGCATCAATGTAACATATCCATTTTAAGAACTGTTTAGACTTCAAAGCTGTGTAAAAATACCCTGACATTAAAATATGCATCTTAAAAAAATAACTGAGAGTAAAAGAATGAATTTTATTTAGCGATCTGTTTTGCAAGTCTTCCACCTTGTTAGGAAAACTGCTGTACTGTAGCAAGATGTCAGTCTGATAAAGATATATTGGATTTCATTATAAATCTTGTCTCCAACCAACAGCACAAGGTGGGGAAGCTACAGCTGATAGATACATCTTCTCATATAAGAGGCACAGACAATTCAGAGAATAATATCTGGTGAAAGTGAACAGATATAATTAGACTATATTTACAATTTTCCAGACTTTGTTCTTTAACTTTTATGCAGTAACTATAAATCTGTTTTTTGCTTTTCTAAAACCTTAAAGATTTTTGGACACTCACCAACATTTAAACACCACATTTGTTCTGAACAGTAAGTACCAGGAAGCTGATTTAAAACCGCTTCAGATAGCAAGTGCAGAGAACAATAAAAATCAGAGGTCGTCATCACTGACCCTACTTCGCAAGTGCTGTCTCATATGAGTCTCACTGATTCATGTAGACTAGGCCATATGTAATTTGAGTTAATTCTGAGAGTATCAAATACTCCCATCAAATGTATTTTCACTAAGGATTTAAAGTAAATAATTCTATTTTGAAAAAAAAATGCCAATCATACTGTAGCAACCCTACAAAGTGCACAAATTGTAAAAAGTACTGAACACTTCCAAAGAGATTTCATAACTTGGATTGAAATCAGAAAACCAAATTCAGCTCTGTAAGTCCTAATTTACATCAGTAGATCAGGAAAATTTTTAGGTCTCAAAATGTAATTTTTAACAAGTGTTTCTCTAGTATGGTACCACAGGGGTCAGTTCATGGACATCCAGTCATTAATAAAAACATTGTAAGACAACAAAATCATTACCTGTAAAATTTGCAGATGACACAAAAATTGGGGAAATGGCAAATAGTGAAGAGGACAGATCACTGATACAGAGTAGCATGGTAAGCTAGCAAGAAGCATATTGTATGTTTTTTAATATGGCTGAATGTAAAATATACATCTAAGTCACAACGAATGTAGGCCATATTTATAGGAGGGGGACTGTATCCTGTAAAGTGATGATTTCTGAAAAAGATTTGAGGGGACGGGGGTTTGTCATAGTTAATCATCTGAACATGAGCTCCCAATCTGATATTATGGCCAAAAAGGCTAACATGATTTTTGGGTACATAAACAGGAGAATCATGAATAGGAGTAGAGAGATTATTTTACCTCTGTATTTGGCACTGTTGTGTTTTCTGCTGGAGTCCTGTGATCTCTTCTTTTTTCTGCAATTCAAGAAGGAGGTTAATAAATTGGAAAATAGTTCAGAAATGAGCCATGAAAATAATTAAAGGACCAGAAAATGTACCTTATAGTGATTCAAGGAGATGAATCTCTAATTTAATGAATAGAAGGTTAAGGGGAGAGAATTAATCTATAAGTATCTGCATAGGGAAAAATATCAAAGAAAGGTGTCTTCAGTTTAGCAAAGAGGAGTATAACATAATCCAGCGGCCAAAAGTTGATGGCAGACAAATTCAGACTGGAAAAAATAGTACATTTGTAATGATTTAATTAATCATTGAAACAATTTATCAGGAGTCATGGTTAGGGCCTACTAAATGTATGGCCATGAAAAACATGGACTCAAACCTAGTCGCACACCATGTAATGGAGTCTTTTGTTTATTTTTACCCTATACTATACAGATTTTACAGGGGCAATCAACATTTCTCCAATTGGAGGTCCCAACCCAAAAGGTGATGGGGTGGTCTTAACAAATTATTGTAATGGGGTTGCAGGATTGCCACTCTTACTTCTGTGCTGCCTTCAGATCTGGGAGGCCACAAAGGAGATGGTGTCTCTGACCCAAAAAGCCTTCCCACCCTGCATTAAATCTTCATTGGGCTGTCTAAACATTAGAGAAAACAGTTTTATAACTAAAAAACTGGAGGAATTCTATATTCGATGTTGCCTTGCCAGTTAAAAGAGAGCTATTCACAGGTTTAAAACAGCAATGGCAACTAACAATCATAGAACAGAGTCACAGTATTTAAGGCCAGAAGGGACCACAAGATAATCAAGACTGAATATTGGTATTTTGCAGGACCAGAAACACCAACCAACTTTCACTATCAGATAAATTGTAATGACAATGATTTGACCATATTTAAAATGCATAAATAGAATGTTGTAACAGACACTGACCTGTTGTCTACTGCAGTCTGATGGAAGTTAGATTTCTTGGCCTCTGGGTGAATAATTTTCTGTTGCTTGAGTAACCTAGGCAGGCACTTCTGCAGCACAATCAGAAAGATCCAGGAGCCAATTTAAGAGCTTACCAGCTGCAACAGGCTAATTTGCACACCTGCAACCCATGAAAGACCTGCTAGAGTTAGTTTGAAAGGATTCCCACCAGGGATGACAAGCAGGTAGGGACTAGAAGTAAAGAGATGTGCTATAGAAGAGTAGAAAAGACTTGGTCAGGTACTAGGAAGAAGGTACTGGGAGGAGTTGGTTGGGGAAGTGGCTCAGGGAAAGGCGGCAGCACTGCTGCTGGAGGAAACAAGACCTGTTGCTGCTACCATTAGGGATACTGGGCTGGATCCCAGAGTAGAAGTTGGGCACAGGTTCCCCAATCCTCCCTGCAGCAACTACAGAGACTAACCCTGATACAGGAAGTTGGGACTAAAGAGAGATTTCACTCCAAGCTCGTTTGGCTAGCCTATGATGAAGGTGGCTCAGGAGTCTGCGATGCCTAATCTCCAGTGAAGGAGAGAGGTTACGTGAGGGATCAAAGCAAGCTTGTCATGCAGGAACAAGTCCCCTAAAAGTGCAAGAGCCCCCAAGACAAAGATAGAGATCTGCTACACACACACACACACACACACACACACACACACATATAGAATACATGCAGTCCAGACTAAGCATGTAAGTTATATGGTGGTAGGTGTAGTTGGTGCTTTTAAATAGACAGTTTAACAAAACTGAAAGCAATTATGAGCCAAATAAGCTGAAATGAAGAAATTTAATCAGAAAAATGTGAATAATTGGAATTGATTAAGAATACTTTACTAGCTGGGCAAAAAAAAAAATACAATCAAGGAAGAAGGCTATTCTGGTTTAAAAAGGAGCAGAGCAGATCACTTGGGGGTAGGTGAAGGAAAAAAAGGACCTTCAAACCTTAGTTCCTGAGGAAGGATCTGAAGGAAGGTAGGATCTTTTCTGACAATAACTGCCTAAAGTTCCCTCCCAAGCATCCAGGAATTTTAAAGGAGCTGGCTAACGAACTCACCTGACTGTTTAATAATGATCTGTCAATACATTTTGTAATATCACGGATCTCCAGAAGACAGGAGAGGAAGTTAGTGTTATGCTAATTTTCAAAATAGGTAAAAGAGTTGACCAAAGTAATTGTAGGGCTGCTACTTTGACACTGATCCCAGACAAAATAATGGAATGGCTGATATGGGACTTGATTAATAAAATACTAAAGAAGGTAACTTAATTGCAGCCAATCAATCTAGATTTATTAAATAAACCTTGGTATCTCTTTTGACATGTGTGATGGGGTGTCCACTCCCCACAGGACTAAGAGGGCTTCACATGGCCTAGTAGGTCAATTAATGCCAGAGGCTGCATTTGCAGGAAGAGACAGGGAGCAGACAACTAATGAAAGAAGGTTCATCTACAAAGGAATAGGTGTATCCCACATAAAGCCAGGCAAGGGGAACCAACAGAATTGCCAGGCCCCTGGGAAAGGCGAGGGAGGTGAGGGAGCTGGCTCTGTGCTCCTAGAAGGGAAAGGCTGCAGCTCTGGTGTTGGAGGAAACATGCACAAATAGATAGCTTACAGTATGTTTTGTAACAGTCACAACTCCTGCTTGAATTGTTCTTGCCCGGGGAGCAAGTTTTGCTGAGATCTGGACCTGAAGGGCAGACAGGATGGGATGAGGGACTAGCTTCCCTCTGCCAGCCCTTCAGTGACACCCGGAGTGCATCTGCTAGCCCTCCAGAAATAATTTAAAAGGCAAAGGGCTGCTGAAGCTCCGGGCCCTTTTGAGTCACTGGGCCCCAAGGCAATTGCTCCCTTTGTCCCCCCCCCTTTCTCCTCAGTGGGCTTGAAACCAGGTAACTGGCAACAAAGATGAGGCTGCAAAGAATGGGTTGTCATTATTCTCTGGAAAGAGGGAGGAGTGTTTGGAGACTAAAGATATGGGCAGCCTGCAGTCATTCCTTGGGCAGAGAGAGAAAGGTTTGGAAACAGTACACCCAGAGAGAAAAGGGGGACCAGAATGGTAGGAAACTGTCCTGAAAGGAGCAGTGCAGACTCAGAGTCAAGTGCAGAATTGTATGCTTTAGTGTCCCCAGACTGGAACACAGAGTAGAGGAGGGCCCAGGTTCCCCTACCAGCCAGTGGGGAGTGAATCGAAAGACTGTTTAGTACTCCTGAAGGGACCATACCCCTTTGCTCAGTGAGTCAGCTGGAGGGCTGAGTCACAAAGGGGATGGTTCATTACCTGGAGCAAGAGAGGAGCTGCAGACCAGATAGAGGGAGAGAGCTGAAATTCTGGCAAATCACACAAAGCAGGAGTTGGGCTTCAAGAGCGAATCTCTAGAGACCAGGAGAAGAGGCCAACACTGCTGTGAGTGGTGCTTCTCCTGACAATGAGATTATAAATTTAGTTGATGTAATATACATAGATTTGTGAAAGGCATTTAATCTAGTTACTACATGCCATTTTTATAAAAATTAGAAGAATATAAAATCAAAATTGGATTAAGAGCTTTGAACTCTGAGTAGAAAGTATTGACAGATTCAGGTCCAGATCTCTGCAAAACTTGCTCCCTGGGCAAGAACGATTCAGCCGGGGTTATGACACAGTGTTACAAAACATAGCTCTCTACTTGTACATGTGAAAATAGTTTTCCTTATCCATTACACATGGACTCCAAATGAGAGCATGTTAGGCTTTCAGAAGTTATGTACTGTTATTCTGTGGCTTGACACAGTTCACCTTTACAGATCACCCTGCAACTTTTAGATGACGGTACTCATTTAAAGTCTGCCAAGTAGAAGAAAAAGTAGAAGTAAAGTAGAAGAAAAAGAGTTCTATTGCTAAAATTCAAGCGTTATGTCACATTTGTGATCCCCTGTAAAAGTCAAAGTTATCAATGAGAATGACTACTATAATCTTACTATAAGGCAGAAAACAGAGACAAAATGGGCAGCTTATACAGAGAGTAAGTAAACCATTATATAAGGACCCAGATTTCTAGATGTCAAGACTTGCGTAGATGACCCCAATTTATTTTTCTGGACTGTATATATTTCCAAAGCCTTCCAGAGCTTAGAGTACGAGAGAATTTTTCTGTTCTAAAAATTCCCTACAGACAAGAAAGAAAGCAGTTTATCAAAAGAGAATGAGACCATCATACTAAAAGAAAAAAGTAATGCGTCCAGTAGCAGTCAGCAATGATATCTTTGGCCGCAACAGGAGAAATCTGGAGGAACTAAATTCATTACCATCAATAAGCAAGTACTTAAGCTGTATCACTATGGAAACAGTTTTAAATAAAGATAATCATAATGCCAGTAATAACATAAATTATATTAACTCTCATGATGGAGCATGAACTCCAGCAAGGGTCCTAATGGCCAGCAGATGAAGGTTCAAGAGTGAGAGCATAAATGTATTCCTGCCTCCATACCCCCAATGCTACATATTGGAATTTTTACATATGATACTTTATTTTCATATTGTTAATAGCAAAGTCAAACAATTATAGCATCATTATTTTTCCTTTAGACTGTGTCTGTCTCTATTTATTTATGTGGAGAACAGCTAGCAGACTGGGGTTCTGATTTTAAATTGGGCATCTAGTTAATAATTAATCTTCATAGGAATGTCATCTAGGAAAACTGCAAAATCCCCCATTTTCCAAAATTCAAACCTTTAATAAAGAGTTCTTTGTTTCTACTCTCTTACAAAACTTTCCTCTAATTTAAAAATAAAACATTTTAAAGTTGTATGAATAAAATATTTAGCAATTCAATTCCTTTTTGAAGTTTAAATTAGATTTTTATTGCTCTTTCTGCAAACCCTGACCATGATTAATGAATCTGCTTCTTAAGAGCTATGTAGCTGGATTTCAACCACTACCTTTTCTTCCAACTAGTGTGTGAGCCACTAGTGTGTGCATGCGCGTGCGCGCGCGCACACACACACACACACACACATTAAGAAACAAAAACACAGGAGCAGAAAGGAGAGAAAATTGAGAGAGATAAAATGACAAAATGTGGGGAAAGACTGAAATAACTAGATTGTTTATTGCCTTTAGGTTATTAATATGATAAATTGAATTTAAAAAAGGAATAGTTTATACAAGAGTTCAAACACAAGTCAAAAGGAAACGAGTGAGGACAGATTATTTTTCTATTAGGAACACAGAAAGGGCTAGTAAATAAAAGCTGCAGCCTAATGGGATAGGCTCATCATAACTTTTTGTAGTTATAGGTATTGGCTCTTAGGGGATGTTTGTGGGCAAAACTCTACTGAAATCATTGAAATTGTGAATGTGCTCTATGATTTTCAAAACACACTCTGAAACAAACAAATAAACAAACAAACATCCAGAAAAATAATTTTCGCTGCATTTGAGTATAGTCATTCTCAGGCTTTCTCTACACTACAGAGATCTTTTCAGAAAAATGGCTGTTTTTCTGAAAAAAATTCATTTAGGTCCAGACTGCAATTGCATTCTTTTTTAAAAAAATTGAAAGAACAGAGGGGTTTTTCCGACATTAGCAAACCGCTTTCTACGAGGAAGAAGCCTTTTTCTGAAAGAGCTCTTTTGAAAAAAGGCGTGTCTAGATGGGGAAAAGGGAGTTCTTCCGAAAAAAGAGGAAAGAGGAGAAAGCACAGGTGCCCTGTTGGGTATTCCGTCCATACTAATCACAGCTTAAATGAGAGATAGCGTCAATTCAGTGTGGATGCTATCTTTCAAAAAAGCAGATCGCTTTTTTGATGCGCTTTGTCAGGGCGTATGCTCTCTTTCAGAAGATGTTTTTTCGGAAGATCTCTTCCGGAAATGCTTCTTCTGAAAGAAGCCTGCAGTCTAGACGTAGCTCCATTTAAAGCACCCATTTTTAAAATGCTGATGTTTGAGAATCATTGTTCATACAAAATCATCATGAAATTATGATTTGAATGGTGTTATTCAAGAATATAGTGTTGCATTAAAATAACATAGCCAAACAAAGGAGCTTAATTCAATAATAACAACAGAGGTTAGGAACACTATGGATCGCTTTTCTTTGCATTACTCCTTTAGGTGCTATTAGCTGATGTACACAGTGTT